TATATGAGCTGCGTTTGATAAGAGGACCGGAAACTAACTTGAAGATTAAATGCCAAATATTAAAACTATTTTTACAAAATAATTTTTTTTTTAACATGACTTGTTTTTCACATTTGTTATTAATGAATTATTTCACTGTTCAAGTTTCCAAGTAATACATAATTTGACGCATTTTATGTGCATCATTTGTGCTGGTTTATTGTGTTAAAAACGAATTATTATGGCATTTAGGCTTTTAATTCAGTTTGTTGAACACGGCAGCAAACATAAAACAAAAATTGTTTTTCTGGATTGACTTTAAAGCTGTTGCTTGTCAGTAGCTGGAAACGTCAATTTAGATTGCATAATTCGTAAAAATGCGCCAAAAAACAGATCATAAGTGGCAGTAGTAAAAACGCTGAAATACGTGTACTGATCGCCTTGATAAAATTTATAGCCACACTGCATCAATTAGAGCGCTTTTTTTTCATTCCAACTGAGGAACAATGGATTTCGTTCTGAGTTTTTGAGCTGCTTTTGGGCTTGGACACAGAACAATAAACAATTTAAAATGATGTCGCGCATAATTTACATCACTTATACGTAAAAATGGAGAACTCAGGCCACTTTGAAACTGGCATATAAAACAGATCACCGAAATCACGACACAGCATCCTCTGAACAACTTACATATGCTGGCCAGACTAAACGTCGCTATAAAATCGGTGACATTGACTTGAATTGCTGATTTAATTCTGTGTATATATTTTTTTTTTGTGCCACAGAAAGATTAAATTTGATACAAGCATTTTGAACAATTTAGTTCAACCCTTTCGTTTTGTGTCTTGTAGATTTTCATAACTGATCTTGTTACCCTCATTTTTTCCGTTCGCAAAAGTCAACATCAAATACTTGAAGATTGAACTCAAAGTAATTTCAGCAATCCTGCTGGTGCCCTGGCATGTTAGGCTGACTTTAACTGTGTCATTCCTGCTCCGATGCATCAATTGATGTCGCTAAATTTGCGGTCAGTGATGGATTATCATCATTTCATGTATATGTTTAACCATATATGCGCATATATATGTATATATGTGTTTATTGTTTTATAGAAATATATTTCGTTTGTGTGAATAAGTAATTTTATTATAATTTCTGTGCATTTTTAACAAACAATTTTGTTTTTGAAGTACATTCAATAGTTTGTGGTAGTTTTTCTTTCATCTCACATATTTCTCTGTCATTAAACAGTTTCCTGGAAATAATTATGCTTCTTATGGGCTGCGAAAAATTATTTTTCGTAAATTGCATTAAAATCTAAACTGATTGGATGGGATTAACATTTCGCTCTGTTTTTGGTATGAACAGAAAATTGCTCAATTTTGGATGAACCATTTTTTGGTAAAAAATATTTAAAGATTATTTGCAAAAGTGGAATGATAAATAAAAAATTGTCAAAGTTTTGGTTAGAACTCATTATATATTACTCAGTTACTTATATAAATGATCATATAACAAGAAAAACAATGCACATAATAAAGTTATATGGAAAATAGTTTTTATTTCGATTGTGTAGTCCCCTATCATAGTCTCACAGTTTGCGGGTACCTCTTTCAATAAAAAGGTTGGAATATTAAAGTTCAAATATTCTATACCTTGTTCCATTTTGTAAGGAAAATAGATTAATTCATTAAACGATATAATGTGTGGTATTTTAATATATTTAGTGCAAAAATCTGCCTTGTATTAGTGGATTAGGTATTAGTTTGCGGGTACCTCTTTCAATAAAATGGTTCTAATATTAAAGTTCAAATATTCTATATGTTACCTTACTCAATTTTTTAAGGAAAATAGATTAATTCATTAAACGATATAATATGTGGTATTTTAGTATATTTAGTGCAAAAATCTACCTTGTATTAGTATCAAGGATTTAATGGTAATTCTAGCTTTCACATACTTTTTTTCAAACTTAACACAAATAGTTAATGATTGTAATATAATTCACAGTTGAAAGTACTTATTTACTTACTTAGTTGTCCATTACAGACGTGAGTTGTCCTTGGCTGCGTCAAGTAATCTTCGCCAGCCACCTCGGTCATTGGTATACTGTCGCCAGTTGGTAGTACTGAGCGGCCCCAAATCGTTCGACACCTGGTCCTTCCAGGCGTTTTCCACCTGTGGGTATCAATTCAAACATCTCTTTAGCGGGATCACTTTCTTTCACTCGCACTACATGACGAAGTCAGGAAAGTTGCTGAATTTTTATAGCAATGTTGCGGTAAAGCTCACACAACACACCATTCCATTCCATCGCAAGGTATCATAGATCTTCCGAAGAAGTTTTCCCTCAAATGCAAAGTGGCAGACCTTAAGTTGAACATTTTATGTTTTAGATGACCAAACATAAATTTAGAAAAAGGAAATTTTTTTATATTGATGGGCATTAAAAATTACATAGTAATACTCTCCCTAAAAGGAAATATTTGTTATTTAAATAATTGTAGGCTAAAAAAAATATATAGGCTTGTCTTCAGAGTTATTAAATAAGGAAAAATTAAACAAATTTAATGTCCTCTAAGTAATAGTTACCTACTTCCGAATTAAAAAAAATATTGCAGGTTCTTAATATATATTTATTGGAAAGAAAATGGATCAAGTGGACTAACTTCATGTCATCAAATCAAATGTTGCACATTTCTACTACATCTATGATTTCTTCAACTTTTATGTGAAAAATATGAATCTTTCATCATGTAAAAGTTAAGTGAGAAAATTAAATTTTTTTCTTCAACAACTATTTACCACGCAATTTCCTAAATTTATTTAACACCTTCGCCATCGAACGTCAATTTTATTAAAAACCTGCCGGTTGATGGTGTTGATCGTTTTTCGTTCTTTAACGATTTGTTGTTTTTCTTGGAGAGTTCGTAATATTTTTCTCTGGCGAATGGCATCTTAGGACTCGAAGCGTTTCCATTAAAATCGGTTAATAGCGCAATATAGTTTTAAGCGAGAAAAGAAGTGGTAAAATAAAATAAAATAAAATATTTGCACAATAAAAATTGCACGGTAAGGTGAAGTTCAATTCATTGGGCAAAAAAGGGGCGCGTACCACAAGTAATAAGTTTGAATAACGAGGGTTTAATTTATGATTTGTTATGTTTCCGGTTGTATTGGTTTTAAGGTGATCTGAACGCTTTTAGGCA